TAATTGAAATTTTTAGAGGGGTTAGATAACAATAGGTACAATATTTCATCTACTCCACTAATTTTTTTTTAAAAATATAATTTCTTTTAACGTTCTCTTCAAAAAAAAAAAAAATTTTTTTTTTTTTAATCAATAAATAAAAGGATTAATGTTATGAGATTTTGCCTGTAAAAATAATTTTTATTTAATTTAACTTAATTGAGAGAAGAGATTCGCAAAAATGTGGGATCCAGTGATTAAATGAAAATTTAATTAATTATAATATTCCAGAACCTATAGTGAAGTATATTTTTTAACAAATTGACATTTATGAATTTTTAATAAAAATCAATATATTCTAAAAACAATTTTAATAAATATTGCTTTGAGCTGCCATTTAGATTTTAAAGGGAAATTTTGGAGAAGAATAAAGCCCTATTATTAAAGAATTGCACAATATAAAATTTAAACATCTTAAGAAAATTATGACATTTTTGTTATTCAAAACAGAATTTCTTTTTAATAATCTTGTGAAGTAAAAATTCATCTCATTAGAAATAATTATACTACAAGTAACTTTTAATATTAAATATTAAACTTGTTCGAAGGAAAGGGGAAAAATATTTAAAGGTAATTAAGTAAGCCAAATAAAACACCAAATTTAGAACGATAAATAACGGAAAATATTAGCGTAAGGATTCTAAAATAAATTTAATATATTATGACAGTTAAAGTAGAACGGGTATGAACAAATATAGAAGATCCTATTCATTGTAATAGAATAAATTTAGCAAAGATGTAGCGGCATGACCCGTCCGGTCTGTTAAGTTAAGCATCGATTAAGCATAAATTCAAAAATCTAAAAGTTGCTATAACTTTTTTTTTAACTTTTTTTTTGATGCTCAATTACCACGTGAAAATTGAAATTAGGTTATAACAAGATTCTAAAGAAAGAAAGAAAAATGAAAAGAAAAAAAATCAACCATGGATGCCAAATTTATAGATACTCTTATTAGAATTATTTATTTTTAGTTAAAACCAGAATTTACTAGTTCAGAGCCCAAATCTTACTCATATTGTAGCCTAAGCCGTATAAAATATTTTCTTTATAGATATTTCATTACCACCTATGAGGGAATTTACTTTCCTTCAAAACAAAGTTTAATTTGAGGAGAGAAAGAAAGGAAAAAAATACATTTAATACATGGATTACAGTTAGAGTGGATTACAGTTATAAAAGAATAATTAGTTTTCTCTTTTTCTCCTTCAAATTTAAATGTATCTATTAAAATAGGAGTTAAAATTCTTAGAGCAGATTATTATTTTGTTTGTCACAATTGATACACTTTTCAAATAAATTATGATTTTAATAAACAGCAAATAAAATTCTTAATTACAGAATTTTCTTCTGAATAATCGAAGAGTGAATAAATAAGAGTGGTTATTTTCCCCAAATTTTACTAAAAGAATTGTATAATTTTAGTCATTTTGCCCACATATAAAAATAACTCCCAATTTTCAATAAATAGGAGGACCGGATCATTAATCTCTGAATTTTATTATTAATTTTATTTAAAAAGTTTTATTTGCTGTTTCTCTTGTATTATTTCTCTTATAAATTAAGACAGCTTTTAAGAGAAATCCAAATAAATGTAATTAATATAGCACATTTAAATTAAGTTAATACACTAAAGATTGGTGAGTATATTACAGTTTAATGGGTCCAATCTGTTAAGTTACGCATCGATGAGAAACTGTTTCAAAATATGAAAAGAAATTTTAGCCTATTTAGATGAGTGAAAAATATAACTGAAAAATATAACGTAAAGAGCTACTTTTTCTTTTCTTTTATTTCTATTTTTATCGATAAATATCGGCTAAAATTTTTTCATACCAAAAGTTTTTCTTTTTTCAAACTAAGGGGAATATAAATAATGAAACTGAATATGTTTAAAGAAACCCTTATTAAAATATGAAATAAAATCATTAAAGGGTGAAGGTTTATAAGAAGAGAATAAATTAATACTATTTAGAATAATGGAAGGAAAGTATAATGAGAGCATATTCAGTAGAGTGTTTAATACAGTGAAAGATTTGAGAGAAAATAATCAGAAATTAGTAATTTCGGCTAAACTAAAAAAAAATTTTTTTTTAACATTTAATTTCATCCCAGAAATATTTTCTTTTAAAAAAAATTTATTTTCTCACTTTTAGTCTAAATATTTCCATTTATCAATTCCTAAGCTCTCATTTTAATTTCAGCCAATTAAAAGAAAATTTATTTGTATATATTTTCTCTCTTTTCAATTTAAAATATTTACTGTAAGAGGGGGAAAAACTCAATGAAAAAAAAACTATTGAATAGATGAATAGATAGAAAAATAAGAGAGAAAAAGGAACTAATTAGAAAGGAAAACCAATTAATAAACAAACAAAATAATCTATACAATAAATACTTAGAAAGTAATAGTAAAATAACCGGGCATTGCCAAATCCTAGGCCGTAAAATAATTTAAAATTTTATTTTCAGCATTTTAAAATTAATCCAAAATTTTCAATGAAAAAAATAATAATTTTTCTAACTAAGGGAGATATTCTAAAAATTAGATTTTTCTTTAAATACCCTTAAAAACATAGTTTCTAAGTAGAAATTGAAGAAGTGTACAAAAATTTCAACTAAAATGACAAAAATAAAATATTTTAAAAATAATTAAAATGCCAAAAAAATATATATACTGTATAAAATATGTATCAGAAAAATTAAAATGGATTTTAGAGAGTTTTAGAGAGAAGGAGAGAAAATTAAATTTTATTTGAGTTTTTTTTTAAATTTTAACTCACTTCCAATCCAAAACGGTAATTCACGCTCACAGTCACAATAAGTCAACGCCAATCACAATGAGTCAAATTTCTGAAAAATCACTAATTTAGAATTGAAAAGGGTTGGAAAATTTATTTTTAATTTGATAATATTTTTAGGGAATGTTTTTTTTTAACTTACAATGCCAAAATTCAAATCCGGATAGTAGCCAAAGCCAAATAAAAATAAATTTAAAATTTAGTGTTTTTTAGGACTCTGAAATTAGTGAAAAAAATCATTAAATTGATAAGTGTAAATATGTAAAAAGGATTGTTCAAATATTTTTAAACAGATATTTGATAAAAAAATACTTAGGAAATATTAATAGAGACTATAAATTAAAATATTAAAGATTGAAAAATTGTTTAAAAATTATTTATAAAAAACAAATATTCAAAGGATAAAGTTTAAAATGAAAATAGTCGGCGGGAGAAAAATTATTGTAATTTAATGGAAGGAAAAATTAGAAAAGTAAACAAAAGAAAAATCAAGATTGTATCACACCTATATTAACAAACACTTAGGAAGAAGGCTATTGTAAAGTTAAAAATGTTAATGTGGGAAGAAAATGAAATTTTAAAAGCAAAGAATAAAAAAAATGGACGAGAATTTATGAATGAGAAAGTAAACAAATATATTAATAATGCACATAGAAAAATGATCAAAGGTCAAGAATAACCAAATGTATTTTAATAAATATCCACTTAATCCAAAACATCACCTATTTTAACAAAAATTTAAGACTTCTGGAAATAGCTAGATTAAAAAATATAGACCTTGAAGAAAAGACTGAAGAGAAAAATATAGTTTAAATCCTTGAATTTCCCGAAGGAATTTAATCTTAAATCTACTCCCAAAAATAGAATTTAACTAGTCAATAAATTACTAACAAATATACTCTTCCAGAAGATCACTCTTGTTTTTCCTTTTTTTCCGAAGGAGAAGGAAAGAAAATTCTGAAGATTAGACTTTATGAAATAAGAAAATAGAGAGAAAAATATAATATATTTATTTTAAATCCATTTATTTCCCGAAGGAAGTCTATACATGGGTTTACGCGCGCTACCATAAAGCTTTTTTTAAAATTTTATTATTTATTTTTATTATTCCCAAAAATTTATAAATGCCCTGGGTCTTACATTATTTACTCAAAAATTATTTTATAGGCCTTTAACTTAAGTTTTAATATATATAAATTTTTAAAAAAAAATTACACCTACCTCCCGGTTCCACGTCGATGTCGAAGGACCGGTGCTACCAGTAGAGGTGGGACCCCCGGAATAAGATATTACCATGCGGTGGGCCCAAACCCCAGAATGATGGAATACGGGAGGGGATATGCCCGGGACTTCCTAAGAGGAACCAAAGGGTTGATCAGGCCCCCGGTCGATCTCCTGCACCAGGCATACACAATTGAACACAATTTATATATTTATTAAATCCAAATATTAAAAGCTTTATTAAAACATTATTTATTTCATTAAAGTGAATGAACAATAAGACACTTGCAAGGTGATTACAAATCCTTTTAAATGTGTGAGAAAAGTGGGAGGGAAATGAATAATAATAAAATGACTATAAACTATAGGAAACAAACTCCGAGAATACCTTTGACCCTTACAAAATTAAATTTGTTATTTAATTGTTATTTGTTAAATTTTGCATATTTACTTCAAATTTGAGCTAAATTTATGTTATAATGTTACTACTATTTGCATTTAGTTTGGAGGTTCTAGCGAAATCTCCGGATATCCGGTCATTCATTAAAATAGTGAGAATTCTAATATGATGGGTAGTATCTCGATAAAAATTTTTAGTATCTCGATAACAGCACAACGTCTAGCATAAAATAAAACTAGTAGATCCATAAAAAGAACGCCCCAATAAAAAACACTACCCTCCTTAGAGAATACCCCCCCCCCTCCAATAAACGTAAAATTTCCAGTTTCTAATAAAAATTTATTTTAAGTACAAAAGAATATTAATTTTTTATAAGATTTGTGTAGTAATTTATAATTAAAATTGATCAAATTAAAATTCAATTTCGCAATTCAACACTGCAATTATATTCTGGAAGTTTAACTGCAAAAGTCTGACGTTTCTCATATTTTGGTGGATTTAATGGGTTTGGTGGATAAACCTTTAAATAATTTGTATATAATTAAGATATATTTTTATTTTTTACATTAAATTTATAGAAAAAATTAGCTGTAAAAAGGAAAAGTTCCATCCTTGCTAAAGCCTCGCCGGCACAACTTCTAAAATTAAAATTCTTTAATTCCTTATCAAAAATAACCTTTTTCCAACACCAAAAGGTATATTTTCTTCTATTTTTTTAAACTGGCCATTTTCGTCAAGAAAACGTTCGGGAATAAATTTTTCTGGATCAGGAAATATCTTTAAAATAATTGTTTTTAATCCAAAAATATTCGAAAATACTCTTTCATCAAATAGAACAGTGCTAATTTGGGGTATAACTACAGTCCCTGCCTTTAAATTGTGACCACCAATTTTAACGTCTTTATTGGCTACTCTCGTTAAATTTAATGGAAGAAGATTTGATAAGCGTTGAGTCTCCTTTTAAAAATAAAAATTAAATAATTTAGAAATGATAAAAGGATATAGCACTAGATTTATGTAAAATAACAAATATCCGATTGATGAGAGGAAATTTAAAGAAAATAGTAATTATTACTGGAAATATTTTTAGAGAATTCCTATTTTTGTTTTCACCAATTATGTCATAAGAATACACTAATTATATTATAATAAGTATTATTTAGATACCTAAACTGTTCAAGTCCTAATCTCTCCTTATTTTTCCCCAAATCCTTTTAATTTCTTAATATCTCTCTTAATACACATAAACTTTCAATATCTTCTCCAAATCCTTTTAATCTCAATTTTTTTGATATTGATTCTTAAAATATTTCATTATTAATATTACATAGTAATGATTTTTAATAAATATTCATAAAATTAAAACAAAAATGGAGTAATTATTTGAGAAATTTCAGCAAATATGGTAGGTCGCTCTAATTAACTTTACTAACATTAACAACAGCATTTGTATAATTTAATTTAGTACGATCAGATTGACGGAACTTTCCATCAAATTCTTCCCCAGTTTCTTCAGCCAACCCTCTTTTTTCTTCCATTACTTTATCTAATTCATTTTGCAACTTTTCTTGTGAACTTTGATCTAACATTAAATAAAGAATCAAAAAATTAATTGTATTTGATGTTGTTTCCTTTAAAATTATTTTTTAATTTTTATAAAAACCTTATTTTTAAATTGAAAAGTAATTTAATTAATTAGGTAGTTTCTAGGTTTGATGACGGGCAAACTAAATATATGTATTAAGCTGTTAAATTATCGTCCTACCACATGCACAATGATTTTTCATTGTAATGGTTTAGAATTTTTTAGATTTAAATTTAAAAAAGTTTTAATAACCGAGGATTTTTAATTTGGAAATTCTTTAGTTAAGATTTTGCTTTAAATTAATTTTATCACAAATATTTATTAAACAATTAGCATTAATATTAAATTAACCTGTCCAGCTAAAAACATATCATAAACAAAAGCAGTTAAGTATTTAACTCTAAAACATAAATTTAAATTCATTTAAAATATTTATTTATAAACTTGTAATAATTTTCTGGATCATTTTGATCAGTTTCCTCAACAGATTCCAAAAATTGATCTAAAACATCCATTCCGTCTTCCGGTAAATAATTTGGATCTTTTCTAGCTTCAATTCTTTTATCAATTTCTTTTTGTGAATATTCAAATATACTTTCTGTTGCTTTCTTTCCATAATTGTAAAAATGTTTTACATAAATTGGAATATGTCTAATCCTTTTAAATATTTAAATTTATGATCACCTATAAATTTAATTTTGGACAATGGAAAAACTGGAAAAGGCAAATTAAAATGAGGCTGAAAACCTCGCAGAAAATTTGCTACGTTAAGTATCCTTTAGAAGTATAATCTCTTTCAGACCTTATTCTAAATTTCCGCGCAATTTTTGACCCTCTTTAGAAAAATGTATTTTGATTGCCTAATCATTAATATTTATTTAATAGATAAGTGATTATTTGATAAATAAAGAAAAATAGAGCTACAAAATTACAAATAAGGGGATTGATATCCATTATATCCTATTCTGAATTGATTAAGGGTGATTTAAGTTAGAAATAACCAAATTAATGTTTGAAAAAATTATTTTCGGAATTACTAAAAATATTTTTTCTTAACTAAATTTCCGCCACTGTAGGTTTGGTTGAGAAAAAGTCGGATCTAATTTTCAAAATTTTCAACGGAACGGATTTTGGGTTTAAAAAGGATGGGTTTCCGGTAATTATTATTATAAATAACCCTTAAATTAACACGTAAATAGGACAATTATAATTAAATAATTTTAAAAATTACCAAGGGGACATTTCGATCAGTAAAGACCAAAAACTAATAAAATAAACTTGTTGTATATCCAATAATTGTTTTAAACCAGAAAATTCCTTAAATCTTTCCCCGTAAAATGAAAATCCAAGCATTATTTGATTAATAATAGAACCAGTCATTAAATCAACTTCTCTATCAATTGAATGTTCTAATTTACCCATTAACTTTTCATTTTTGATTTTATCAATAGCACGGAAAACTGCATCTAAAACCTAAACAGAATCAATTTCAATATTGGATTTGACTTAAATAGAAAATGGCAAATGATCAGGGTTTTTACAAATACTTTGGTTTATTTTAAAGTTTTTCTCAACAAAGTTAAATTTTTTTATTAATTTTACTTATTTCCCTAAGCAGAATTTAATAAAAATTATCTAAAAATAATTTACTAAATGTTTATTTACCTGTTTTTCAACCGTGTCTTTATCGATTCCATAGTCGCGCATAGCCTTATAAAAAAATTTGCGCATCTGCCTCCATTGCTCTCCATTTGTACGAATTATACCGTCAACAGAACCTTGAACAAATATTCAAAAAAATAATATTATTTAAGGATAGAATTACCGTATTTCCTAAAATAGTACCCTCGGGAATATTATTTTTCAAGCATCCTCCAAATGGGACTACTATTTAAGGGGGGTATACTAATTCAGGAAATACGATATACCTATGTATGTATTATATTTTTAAAATTTAAACAAAAATATTATTTTACTAATACCAAAAAACAAAGTAAAATGTTTGATTAAAAAATCTCTATCAACATAGGTGTCGCCATCTCTAATAAATGCTGATTTTATAAGCTCATAATCAGTAATAATAACCAGTGGCTGTTCTCCTATCCAAATTGTATAGACAGGGCCTTTAAATTTAAGTAATTATAATTAATTTTAATAATAAGTATATTATTAGCAGGGTTGGATAAACAAAATTTGCCTATTTTAGTTAAAAACAAGTATCAGAAACACATATGGGTTATCCCAACCCAGTTTTTGTGGACATATTTACGCGGACTTATTTATGTACGGAATGGACAAAATCCTTCCTTCCACAATTTCAACTGAATTTTTTCTGTGGCATCATTCAATGATTTTTTTAAATAAACTTTAACAACCCAAAACATTACAATTTAAGTTTAATTTTAATAAAAACCATATTTTTTAGCCCAATCAGCAAAACATTTATATCGTCTATCAGCTTTACTAATTTCTAAAGCATTTCCAATTATCGGTAAAGGAATAGGCCCATCCGGCAAATTTCGACGTTTCCAATAAAAATTATAAAAAATAATTAAAATAAAAAAGCAGTTAATTAAAATTAAAGAAATAGGCAAAATAAATAGAACCATTTTTTAATTCTATAATTATATTTTTGAATTTTTAAAAATATTTTAATTAATAAGAGTTGAAATTAGAAATGGGAAATTTTCAAAAGACTTTGATAATCTTTTATTTTTTAAACAAAACTTATTTTATCAATGTGTTCAATCAATTTTTTGTCAATTCTATCTGATAAAAGAAGTGAAAACAAATTTTATTAAATTAAAATAATAATTTCATTTACTAAAATCCCATTCAATTTTTTTTTCATTTTTTATATAGTATTAGTAAACCGTATTAGTAAACATAATTTTTGAAAATATTTTTATAATTGATTAAAAATAAGAACTTAAATATTTTTAGAAAATATTAGTTTATTGATAAAATAATATTGAATAATAAAAATATTTATGATAATATTCCTAATTAAAATAAAAAATATATTTATATTGTAAAGCCCCCAAAAACGACTCAATTTACTTTATAGTAACATACATATAAAGGAGCTGATTTATTAGTAAACTAAGAAAATTAAATAATTGATGATAGGAAGAATTATTTTTGTATCTTGTGTTTATTTTTTAGTGTTTTAATAAAATATAAAAATATGTAATGTCCAAAATATTTATCGTTAAAATGTTAAAAATAAAAAATAATAAATGTTTATCAGTTGGTTTTTAAATAAAGAAAAACTAAAAAAAGTCTGTGTTTGTATATTTAAAAAGTTCCGGGATATAATGAAAAAATGGACTGTAAATGTTGATAAATGGTGAAAAGCTGTGGTTATGATTGTAAATAAAACGCTCAAAAACAACCCAATTTGCTTTAGAGTAAGCAAAGCTGTTTTGAAACAAAAAAAAATTAAAATCGAAATAAAAACCTCGAAAGTCTTTATTTTGAAACAGCCCGCACGAAAATAATCAAATTTAATAAAGACAGAAAATCAAATTTAATAAAGACAAAAAAAACAAGGGAAATTTTACGTAAAAATTGTTAATAAAACTTTAAAAATATTTAGAAATAGGATTTTCAAGCACTTTCAGATTTTACTTAAACTCTCCGACTCTCTTTTAGTTTTTAATCTTTCCCATTAACTTCCGGCGCTTCATCTTCATCGTTTCCGGCCTCGTCATTATCCTCATCATTTTGAGGAGGTGGACCATTCTCTTCCTTATTTTCCTTATTCACATCTTTCCCTTCCTCTTCATCTTTCTCATCCTCATCCATTTTCTTTTCTTCATTTTCATCTTCCCCATTCGTTTCCTTCCCAATATCTTGCTTCTTTTCTAAATTCTTTGCATCTTTAACCTCATCATCTTTTGAAGGATTCTTTTCTTCCTTCTCTCCGTCATTCTTCATTTTATCTTCATTTTCTTCGCCAGATTCCGAAGAATCAGCACCATTTTCTTTAACATCCTTTAATTTATTCTTGTTTTCTTCAGCAGAATTAGAACCTTTATCATCCTTTCCCTTTCCATTCTTTATTTTATCGTCTTTATCTTCATCATACTCATCATCTTCCTTCAATTCCTCATCTTTATTTAAACTGTCCTCATTTTCTTTAGTCAATTCATTTTTACCAATATTGGTAGAAGGGGCTAAAGAATTTTCAGTATTTTGTCCAGGCATTGGGGGATTTGCAGGGCTTAAAGCCTTTTCTTCCTCTTCCAAGCAAAAATTGATAACTCGAAGTTTAACTTTCTGACGGAATTCATTGCGAGTTTCAGTACTTGCTGCCTTCACAGCATCACGAATATTTACACATTCTTGGTGACGGCTCACAGTTTGGTCAGCAATTGTTGCCTAGTGATAATAATGAAAAAGTAGAAATTATTGTGAACCCTAAAACGAACCATAATGGTTTTATATAACTCTTGAGTATCAGCTGAGGAAGTCTCAACATTTTTCGCATTTTTTTCGTTCGCAATTTGTTTTTTATCATTTAAACGTTGCTTCCAATCTGTGTAGGCCTTCTAAAATTTTAAAATTATAATTAGGCAAACACTTTTAGAAAGCTAACCTTTACTTCTTCACTTTCCTTCTGCAGCCATTCCTCTCTTTTCTTCTCCAAATCTGCCTTTGATAAGTCTATATCACGTAGAGGTGCCCGAAATGAGAGAATACTTTCAACCGTTACATTTTTAAGAAAAGGATATATTTGAACGAGAAATTGTTTTTCTTGCTCATCAAGTTGCCTATTCTCTTCACTACTGTCCAAAATAAATAATTTTTTATTAAAAAACATATTATTTCCAATTTAAAAAAATATTAAAATAAAAACAAACCCATTAGGCATTACGACCTCATTTCCCCCATTTTTACTTTCAGGGTTTCCATCAAAATTCATATTTTTATTTCCGGGGAATTCTTGGAATTGAGTGTTCCCTTGCATATTTTGCTTCCCAGACACCCCGTAAGGAGGATTTTGTCTTCTTCCAAAAGGGTTCATTTCTTGACCGGGATTTCCTTCAAATTGTCCATTTCCTTGATTTCCTTGCCTATCAAAATTAGTTTTAATTCCATTCCCCTCAAATCCTCTAGGATAACCATTATCCTCATTCAGTCCATTATTTTGAGGATTTACTCCAAAACCATTTTTCATTGGTCCTCCCATTGTCGGTCTATTAAATGTATCATTCATTCCTTGCCTTCCAAAAGAACCAGTCTGTTCAAAGTCATTTTCCTGATTTCTACCATATTTTTCATTGTTTTCAGAATTTTTCTCCCCAATTTCATTTCTAAAGTTTCCAAATTTTTGGCCCTCAGGCATCCTCTGACCTTGAGGAAAATTTTGATCACCTTCAAATGACTCTTCATCAGATCCTGAACCTTCCGATTCCCCTTTCATTTTTTGTTGCTGTTGATTTTGTGATAAATTTTGCTGTCCAAACTTCCCTTCATTCGGGTTATAACCATTTCCAAAAGGCATAGGTCCTTTTCTTTGACCATTAACTTGAGCATAATCATTGTTGCCGCCACTATAATCATTTGGAGGAATACTTTTAGTTTCACATAGTTGAAATAATAAAAGGGAACAAACAATATAAATTAACGATGAGGATTTCCTCGCCATTTGAATTTTTTGATATTTTATCAAAAAATACCTTAATCCTAATTTTATAAAAATTAAATTTTAGAAATTAAGCTTATAGTCTTTTATTACAAATTTTATAAAAGAAGTTTGAAAATTAAATAAAAATTATTTGTTTCCCTAAATTATAATGGAAATATAAACATCTTTAAATGTCTATATGGATGTTTTAAAATGTTTTAAGAAATAATCAAAAGTGAATATGCCTGTCATGAATTGCACTTTATCATGCGCAAAATATAAAGGGCAGGGGTTGAGAGATAGAAAATTGAAAGGGAGAGAAAGAGAGAGAGAAATTTTTTACAAGTGCCTGATTGCCCGCTAAACAATCAGCTTTATTCATTTTTTGCCACGTCTAGTCTCGACTTCCACTGTCAGTGAGTGAGGGAATGAAGAAATAATAGAGAAGAGATAAAGGGCAAAAGAAAAAAAATTAATGAAGAAATAAACAAGAATTGATAAGATGCGGAGTTTTTTTATTAGCCAATTTTTTATTTGTAGTAAGTTATGGCATGAAGTAAATCGCAACAGGTTTAGTAACTTTACTGGTGAAATACGAGTAAGGGTATAATAAAATAAACAAATCCGTGAAAGATAATGAAAATAAATATGTATCAACGAGTAAAAAGTTTTATAACAAGTATGTTGCATTGATAAAAGTTTTATGAGGATAAGATTGAGTAAAAATCTTTAAAAAAATCTTTTAAAGGTTATATTCATCAGTTAGCAATTTTGAGCAGTTATAATTTCAGAAATTTTCATAAATTGCCAAAACTAAGTGAATAAATTAAAGCATTTTAAATAGCTAGTATTTTAATGCTTTTAAACATGGTTCAAGACCTGGTAATTTTCAATGTAAACAAAGAAAAACAAAGAAAATCTAAGTTTTTTTATGTTTTTGTAATCATAAGCACATACAGATTAAAATACTCCGAAATTTAAAAATCTCCTCTGATATATCTTCAAAACCTCAAATTTTTGAAGTTTTAAAATTAAGTCGAGATTTAGTTTACTAGAAACATTAAAATGCTTAGCTATGATTATTACAAAATTTATAAATAAATTTATTTCCAAATAACAAATATTGCCAGAAATAACAAATAAATATTCTTTGTATTATTTAAATCTTATAAAATCATTTTAGACATAATACAGTGTGTCAAGAAACTATATTTATGACCATCTGAAACTTTCTCTTTTTTCAACCTCTACATACATAAATAAGTCGTAGAACGAAGTAGAGAGGAAATTTAGTAGTAAAAAAGTTAAGAAAATAAAAGTTTTAATTAATAATAAAAACTTTTAAATATATTTTGCAATAAATATTTATTAAAAATTTAAATCAATATCTTATTGCCATTTTTAATTGCCATTAAATTTTAAAAAATCAATTTACATTTGCAATAGATAGTGGGGATAAAGAAAAAAATTTTTTAAATAAAATTATTCAAAAATTTTAACTCCCCATTTTTAAAAATTGCAATGAAGGCAGAAAAGGTTTCAATAAAAATTTCTAATAAATTCTTTTTAAAATTAAAATATAATTTAATAATGAGTATTTTTGAATTTAAAAAATTTTAGCATTAAAAAATTAATTTAAAAAATAATTAATTAATGACAAGGATGGGATTTTTAGGTTGTCGAACCCCAAAAATAGTTTTGTAAAAAATGCCAAACTATGTGAATAAAATAGGTGAATATTTGGCAAAAATGCCTAATAATTTTTATTTTTTGTTTATAATAAAAAATATATCAAAATGCTCACTGAAAACTAATAATTATGAAAGACTTTTTTTAATTTTTCAAAAATTTATAAGAATTTCTCATGAAAGGTCTTATTTCTCTGAAAAATATCCAAAATGGGATATAAAACTCAGGGTTTCTCTAAACATAACAATTTCATGAAAAATAGATTATAACTAGAGACCGGACCGATACGATATATCGATAAAAATATCGATATATCGATGTCGATATTATCGATAAACGATACCGATATTATCGAACGATAAATTTTTCAATTTTTTCGATATTTATCGATAATCGATATTTTTTCGATATCGATACCGATATATCGAACGATAAATTGTTCGATATTTTTCGATATTAATTTCTTTTAAATTTTGTATATTGGCATAAGGTTTTATTTCTCTTTTAGATTAAATACTAGTGACCGGCATCGGACCTGACTCCAGCCGGATTTCCCGACGCCCGGGTCGCATATCCGGGTTTTTTGAATCTAAAAAGTTTTTTTTTATCCAAAAAGTTTTTTTTTGAATCCAATTGGTACAACTTTCCCCGACATTGGTACAACTTCACCCGACATTGGTACAACTTTCCCCGACATTGGTACAACTTCCCCCGACATTGGTACAACTTCCCGCGACATTGGTACAACTTTTCCCGACATTGGTACAACTTCCCCCGACATTGGTACAACTTCCCGCGACATTGGTACAACTTCCCCCGACATTGGTACAACTTCCCTCTTCATTAGTACAACTTTCCCCGACATTGGTACAACTTCCCCCGACATTGGTACAACTTCCCTCTTCATTAGTACAACTTTCCCCGACATTGGTACAACTTCCCCCGACATTGGTACAACTTCCCCCGACATTGGTACAACTTCCCCCGACATTGGTACAACTTCCCCCGACATTGGTACAACTTTTCCCGACATTGGTACAACTTTCCCCGACATTGGTACAACTTCCCGCGACATTGGTACAACTTCCCCCGACATTGGTACAACTTCCCTCTTCATTAGTACAACTTTCCCCGACATTGGTACAACTTCACCCGACATTGGTACAACTTCCCTCTTCATTAGTACAACTTTCCCCGACATTGGTACAACTTCCCCCGACATTGGTACAACTTCCCTCTTCATTAGTACAACTTTCCCCGACATTGGTACAACTTCCCTCTTCATTAGTACAACTTTCCCCGACATTGGTACAACTTCCCCCGACATTGGTACAACTTCCCTCTTCATTAGTACAACTTTCCCCGACATTGGTACAACTTCCCCCGACATTGGTACAACTTCCCTCTTCATTAGTACAACTTTCCCCGACATTGGTACAACTTCCCCCGACATTGGTACAACTTTCCCCAACATTGGTACAACTTCCCGCGACATTGGTACAACTTCCCCCGACATTGGTACAACTTCCCTCTTCATTAGTACAACTTTCCCCGACATTGGTACAACTTCCCCCGACATTGGTACAACTTCCCTCTTCATTAGTACAACTTTCCCCGACATTGGTACAACTTCCCCCGACATTGGTACAACTTCCCTCTTCATTAGTACAACTTTCCCCGACATTGGTACAACTTCCCCCGACATTGGTACAACTTCCCCCGACATTGGTACAACTTCCCCCGACATTGGTACAACTTCCCCCGACATTGGTACAACTTTTCCCGACATTGGTACAACTTCCCCCGACATTGGTACAACTTTCCCCGACATTGGTACAACTTCCCTCTTCATTGGTACAACTTCCCGCGACATTGGTACAACTTCCCGCGACATTGGTACAACTTCCCCCGACATTGGTACAACTTTTCCCGACATTGGTACAACTTTCCCCAACATTGGTACAACTTCCCGCGACATTGGTACAACTTCCCCCGACATTGGTACAACTTCCCTCTTCATTAGTACAACTTTCCCCGACATTGGTACAACTTCCCCCGATATTGGTACAACTTCCCTCTTCATTAGTACAACTTTCCCCGACATTGGTACAACTTCCCCCGACATTGGTACAACTTCCCTCTTCATTGGTACAACTTCCCGCGACATTGGTACAACTTCCCTCTTCATTGGTACAACTTCCCCCGTCGGGAAAAAATATCGAAAAATATCGACGATATTTTTCGATACTCGATATTATCGATGATCGATACCGATATTATCGAACAATAAATTTTTCAATTTTTTCGATATTTATCGATAATCGATATTTTTTCGATATCGATACCGATATATCGAACGATCACTCGAGTCCGGTCTCTAATTATAACCTAAAAATCCGATCCCTACTCATTATTTAATTAAATATTAACATTAAATTATATGTATAAAGACTTAAATAATTTTAATTAATTATTTTAAGAAAATGAAATAAAAAATTATTTTTTCATTTTCTTATTTTTTTCTATAAAATTTGCATATATATACATGATGGAGAATGATGGAATAGAAGAAGAATTGGTTATCTAATTATAAATTATTTTAAATAAATTTTAAAAATTATTTAGAATAAAACTGCAAAGTTAATGTCAAATCTTTCATTGGACAGAAATACTCAACAACAAATTAACAATTTAAATCAACATTTGAATCAAATCACAAACGAAATTGGACAAATTAATATTAAGCTGAATAATGCTTATGAAGAATATTATTCGATCCTAGATCAAAATCCATCAGATGATGAAGAAATTTATAAGCAAGCACATTTTTCAAGTTATTATGGAAGACTAATCCCAGAATTAGAAGAAAATATGAAAAATTTAGAAAAAAATAAGTTAGATATACAAAAAGAACTCTTAAAAATATATGTTAATGAGTTGCCTAAAAGTATGTCCAATTTATCTATAAATCGTAAAAAGGATCGTGGAAATGGCGGTGCTAGTAGTTCGAGCTCAACACATTTTCACCGAGGATGATTTTGATGAGAAATTATAACGTTTAAAAACAAATTTAACATATTTATTTTTTTAACAGATTTATTCTAGTTTATTTATACCAGTTAAGAAACACACATGTAGAAATAGTTGATATTTCAAACATTTTATTTTTTTTCGTTTGTTAAAACTTGGGGCTTGTTATCTTTAACATTTTTATTTTCTAAATTTATTTAAAATATTCTCTATATATTTTTTCTATTCAAAACCTCTAAATATGTTTAAATTTATTTTGAAGTAAAAGTATAAAATTGTCGATTTGTTTAAATTTTAATTTTTTTATATATAATTTTCTTCAATAATTGCCAAAATGGACCGACTCCGACCGAAAGATCAAGTCGGGCCTAGATGTTTAGGCCGAAAAAGACTCGTACCGGCCCGACCTGAAAACGGCAACCCTATTTCTGACAAAATTTGTCAAAAAATTTAAACGAGTGTTATTAGACATATTATTTTAATAAATCGGAACTTTAGATTTTTACTCAAAAATTAAAAATTATTGTATATTGATCATCCGAATTTCCCTAAAATTCAAGTTAATTTCCGTCAAGCAGTGACGCTTTGTGTCTTTGACGCTTCGTATTTCCAGCTCTGGGAATTTCAAAATCTTAGGCAATGCAAAAGGGGAGGTAAATGTAAAAATAGATAAAAGGCAAGCATTTAAAATTTAAAAAATCGAATCTACATTAAATATTTTATTTTGTTCAACATATATGGCTAAAAATAGTGCAAATGCACTTTTATAAACTGCCTTATTAATATTTTTAATTTTTAGCCTTTATATTTTTATTTTTTTCCTTTCCATTTTATTATTTTTAAAATTTAAAAATAAATTAAAAATTCTTTTATAATTAATAAAAATAATTTAAAAGAATTTTAATATTGATTTATAAAAAAATGAATGGATTTTTTAAATTTAAATTAATTAATTTAATTTTTATTTTAACTCAAATTAATTTCCAAATAAATGAAGCAATGAAATATAATAATTATGAAGGTAATAAAGTGGAAGGATGAATAATTTTAATTAAATAAAAATATTTTATTTTCAAAAATTATTTTAATATCCAAATTAATTATTGTTTATTTAATTAAATTAATTTTATTAGTTTTTTTAATTTAAATCAAATTTATTTTTAAGCAAAATTGAAATGTAATAGTAATTCTAAAATTCATGCAAAAATGAAAATAAACGAAAAAAATAAAATAATGAAAGAAAAAATTACAAAATTAAAGGTAATTAATTTTAAATTAAATATTAAAATTAAAAAGAGGTAGAATGCTTTAAATAGCAAAATTTATTAAAGGCGAGAAAATTTTTTAGATTTTTAAACAAAAAAAATATTTTTTAAAATTATTCCCGGTTTATTCAAAATTCCTCAATCTAAATTATTGAACTGCCGAACATGTCTAATCTAATATAGCGTAAAGTTCCAAGTAATCCGAAACTTGGAATTTTCGATATTATAAAATAAGGTCAAGGTTAAGTACTAGAAACACTAAATTACTTAAATATAATTACTATAACAAAATTAACAAAAATTTATATCCAAATAACAAATATTACTAAAAAATAACAAATAAATATTCTCATATTTATTATCTTTGAAGTTTAACCGTTATAAACAATTTAAAAATTACTTATAATAAATTCTTTTAAATTTATTTTGCAAAAAATATTTATTAAAATTTTAAATTAATCTTGCAATAAATTTTTATTGCTATTAAATTTTAAAAAATCAATTTTCCTTTCCACTAGACAATGGGGATGAAGGGAAAATTTTTTATTTAAAATCTTTCGAGAATTTTAACTCCCTCATTTTAACTCCCCATTAACTCCCCCATCTTAATAAATTCTTCTTAAAATAAAAATATAATTTAATAATAATAAATATTTTTGAATTTAAAAAATTTAATTTTAAAAATTATATAAAAAATAAATTATAGATTCTTATTAAATTTCATATGAAAAACAAAAAATTATTTTTGTTATTTTATTTTATTTTACAATTGAAGTTTGTATTATTAGTCAAAGAAAATTCTAAAGTAATTTTATTTTCGGCATGTGACACTTACGGCACGACATCAAGGCCAAAATAAACATTTTTTATTTGATAATCATTTTTAAATTTAATTGATGTTGGTAGGTGTTCTCGAAAAATCCCTAAGGACATCTAGCTATGAGACGGGATTGTCTTGCTGAAAGTGTCATTCGCCGTTATTTCATAATTTCTAGAATACATCTGAACCTTCTGTAAACAAAGTGGAAAATCAAACAAATTCTGGAAATGCACAGGAACTAAATCTTGACCTTAGTCTTGCTCCTCCAAGTAAAAAAGTTTTATAATTTAATGAAAATTTCCTTTTAATTAACACAATTCTTATAAAGCTGTTGGGCCGCAAAGAGACGAAACAAGTAAAAATATACAAGGAATAGATTTGAATGAACCAGCTAAAGCTGATCGTAAACATCAAGACTCTGGTAAAGGAAAAGCAAAGGCGGAAGAAAATGAACAAGTAGCACAAATTGATCTGAAGAAAAAACAAGTTTTGGAGATTAAGGGAGCTGCTGGTCCAAGTACCTTACCTGGGGGTTTAGGTTCGAGTGCTTTGGGTGGTACAAGCTCACATATTCAACGACCACAACAACCGAGTTTATTTAAGAGTTTTATACAAGAATTTAGAAATTCAAATAATCAACAACAACGACCACGTTCTCCTCAATTTCAAACTTACCGACCTTACTTTGGGCAAACTAATCCCTTGGTTAATCCTAATCCAAGTGCATTGCCACTAGCACTATACGAATTACAACATCAACAACGAAGACAAAATGAAATTGCGCAAGTAATTAGAAATGAACCAATTACGTCACAAGTTCATTCACTAAATACTGTTGAAAGTTCAAACATTCGTCCACAGATAAATCGTAATCCAACAATTCCAGTGACTTCTGGTAATTATTTTAAATTTTACTTGCATATACCTAATTGCAGTTGGGTATTTTGTTATACAAAAAAAGTAATTAATTCTAGCCTTCAATACAGCCAACATAAATCCTCTACCTCAATTACCTTTTAATCAACCGTCTCCATATTCAATTCGCAATCCACACTTGGCTGAAAGTAAGCGCCAGCTTCTGAATAATCTTCTTGGCCCTGGATTAAACACACTTGCCTCAAATATTCAACAACAACAGCCACCACCTCGTCGACCTCGATTATCTGAACAAGTTCGTGGACAAATCCAGCCACAACATTTCCTGCCACAAGAATTCCTACGACAACAATACCGAACAGGACAATTCCAACCACAACCCCCACAACAATCATCACAGGGTTCAAATAGCACTCCAAGAAATGGTACAAGTGAAAATAGTTCAAATAATGGTAATGGAGACAATGGTAAGTAAATAAATATTTTGATGTTTTAAAAAAATATTTCTGTTAGTAAATTTAGTGATGATTAATAGGTATCATTAAGAACGTTTTTACCTGTTAACTTATTAGAATAATAAAGCATAACTTAAAAGAATAACTTATTATGGAATTTTTATAAAATTTTTTGAATATTGTATATTTTAAATTTTTAAAAATAACTTTGTTTTATCATTTTTAAGCATAAATGATTGTGGCGAGGATGATAGTCTAAAAAGATTTTTGAAGGAGGACTAAACGTTTTTAGATTTTGAAAAGAAACCATTATATTTAACAAAAAAGTAACCCTCCATTCTTTTCATTATTATTAATCTTTGTGATATTATTATTTTGATAAACGTTTTTTGGTTGGACAATCTTAGTAACCAATAAGCGATACACTAACAAATAAGTTTTTGCTTAGTCCGATAATTATTCACAGTCTTGGGAGTTTTTCAAATAAGTGCATGTTAAGTTGGGGCATCTTTCAGTTTTCCCTTACTCCCCGTGTGGTGGTGATGTCAGGAAAAATTCCGGCAACTTTATCACGTGTGCGGGAAAACTAGGAGAAAAATCTCTAAGTTTGCCGACTTCGGGGACGTGGTTCTACCCTAGTAGTTACATCGACAAAGTTTTAAATAATGTTGCGCAACAAAATAAATTTTCAAATTAATAAAATTTCTTAATTATTTTTTTTATTTTCACGTGAATTTTTACATAAAAATAAATATTTATTTTGCACTTTAACTTGTGAATTTTTATTTTTATTCAGGAAAAAAGAAAGGAGACGCCTGTTTATTTTAAAAGACCGACTGTTAACGATTTTTAATTTTGTTTTTATTTCTAAATGCCTAATAAAAATGTTTATCAGAATTATGTAATAATCTTTAAACATTTTTATTTTTCTGATAATCCTTTCTTAAATTTATCAAAAACCCGTATATGAATAGGCTATTAAAAAGCTAAACAGAGTTCTTCATCCTATAGATTTTAATTTTTAATTAATTTTTTAAAAATAATTTTCTTTTCAAAAATATTAAAATTCTTCTTAAAATAATTAAAGATGACTTTAAAAATTATATTCTTTTTACTATTTTATTTTTTTATAAAATTTCAATTTTCATTACCGACTAATATAAATAAGGCTTCAACATCAAAAGATAAAGAAATTCGAAATAATCAACAAAACCAATTTGATCAAAATGTTCAAAATCAATCCCAATATGAAAAACATGTAGCTAAAATTAAATTAATTAAATTAAATTAATTTATTTTTAGTTGGAAGAATTAGATAATTTAAATAAATTATGTTCTCATAACATTAATACAGAAGAAATAGAATTTGATTGGAATGATTATATTGATTTCTCTTATGATAATAATGATGAATTTGAGTTTCAACCAAATTTTGGTAAATACTCTAATAAAATTAATTTTTTTATAAAACACTAGTTGAATGATAAAATGAGGGGGATTTTTTGGTTTTCTTGTATATTTGGAGGACGTTTAAGTTGATAAAAAATATTATACAGTAAAGCAGCTGGGCTATAGCTATTTCTCTCCCTTAGCTAATGGAAAAGGTTATTCGGCGGCTGGGAGCGAACCAGCATCTTTAGTAGACCAGACTGATGTGTTTGCCATTACACCACGCCGCCTACCTTAGGAATTAAATGGCTATTTGCTTTACATAATCTTATTGCTCAAATAAATTCTATATATTGAATAATTACTCTGATAATTGTTTTTTCAACTCTTGTATGGAGGGAGTAATTAATAGGGGAGGGGGCTTTTATAAATAATTATTTTATTAAAGCCATGGATTGTCATGTATATAATCTAATTTAATTATTATTTTATTAATTGTATTTTAAGACCATTATAGTCAATTACCTCCTCAAAATTTAAATATAATTAAAGACAACACAAAATCAAACAAAAATGAAATGAAAGAAGAAATTCAAATAAAAGGGAAAGAAAAAATAGATAATAACAAAAATAAACGTTTAAAAATAGAAAATGAAGGAAATTTAATTAATAAAAATTTCGGGAATAATGAAGAAACAATTGAATATTTAAATAATAAATTAAAAGAATATAAACATCAAATTGGATTATTTGAAAAATTAAATGAGGATTATGAAAATAAGATAAAAATTCAAGGAAAAGATTTTGGTGGATATTTAAATCATAAAATTGAAATAATTAAACAAATGTATGAAATAAATATTTTAAAACAAAATATTATTCTAAAGAAAATTAAAGGGAAAGGATTAATTTTAAATAATTCTTTTGGAAATAATAATGTTTGTTTGTAAATTATATACTATATTTAAATTTAATATTAAAAAATTTTATTTAATAAATTAAAAATATTTGTTAAAAAATATAAGAAAAATTTTGTCATACATAAGTCCCGGAAACCAATATGTCATTTAAAAAAGCTCGTCGAGCTGAGTCGAACGTCACCAAAATCAGCTCGACTGTAAGTACCTAAGTGTCAAGTACTTTTAATTTTTCTCTCCAAAATCATTTTATTATCGTTTTTCAAAAGTTTGTAGTTCTAATTTTTATTTATTACTAAAATAATTTTTAAAGTTTTTTTTCTGGCCTCAGCCCGTTCAAGCTTCCAATTTCGAACCACACCAAAATGAACATCATTATTATGGTAAATACTTAATTTTTTATTTTTCTCAATTAATTTTTTATACAAAATTTCCTCATAAATTAAAATTTTTCAAAAATTAAAAAAGAAATTTTTTTAATTTTATTTTTTAATTATAAATTATTTTTATTTAATTTAAATACTATTTTAAATGGAAAATCATTTTATCCAAACTCTTCAAACAAAGGAAAAGAGAAAATTGAAGACTTACCTATTAGAGGTAAACAAAATTATTTAAATTATGAAAAAAATAAAGAAAAAGTTTTTGAGAATGTATTTAATTATAAAAATTTAATTTCCAATAATTCTGAAATGGAAGAAGAATATTTCAAATATTTATCTTCTAAATGGGAAGGAAAAGGTAAATAAGATTTTTGTTGGAATATTAGGTGTTGTACAAATACCGTAAATATTCTAATTTAACCAAATGTGCTTTATTTTTTGATCTTCTTTTAGGATGTTCTTATAAATTAGGGAGTGTGTTTCTATTGGAAGGTATTATTAGAAGATTTAAGGTATTTAACTGAAATTATCGGAATTAACAAATCCTTTTTAATTGGGGAAAAAAATTTAAAATGCATGAGAACATGAAAAATAATATTTTCAAATAAAAAAATTTATTTTGAATGATTTAATTTTAAAATTTTAAATTAAATATTAAGTTCTAATAAGAATACAAAAATAAAAAAAAAGTATATTTAGATTTAAATCATTTCGAATCAAATGCAAAGACTTTCGATGATTTGGTCACAGAACTGGAAAAGAAATGTAATTAATTTATTAAATAAAACTAATAATATTTTAATTTTAGATTGTAAAGATTTTAGAGATTGGCTCAACGGATTAATTAAAAGTAAAAAGCATTTGAAAAAAAATAATTGAAATGAACATATGTATTTATTAAAAATTATTAGTTATAGTACATATTTTATTTAAAATTCCTATTAAATTTTTTTTCTAAATTATGTAATGGAATAAATTTAAAAATAACCTATAATTTTTCATGTTTTTGTATTCCCTAAAATTTTATTCTTTTGAATTTGAAGTAGAGTAGGTCGAGGTTGAGGCTAGCTGAGGCCGAGGTCCTCGCTCATTTTCAAACTTCAAACTAATCTAATTTGAAGCTATATTTTAATCAAATTAGTAAATTTTTATTTTTTAAATAAAAATCTACATATTTTGTATTTTTCAATGAATCATTTCTGATTGTGGATTGAAACTATATGAAGTCAGCTGACAATTATCTTTAATTGTCGGCTGGCCTTCACATATTTTTAATGAAGTAAAATTTTTATCAAAATAAAAAAAATATTTTTATTAATTCATTGTGGATTAATTCTAAAACGATTAAAAAAGAGAAAATCCTCTTAATCCTCAGATCCACAGATATCCCCCTTACTACTTCGATATCTTAACCCTTCCTATCTAACAATAAGAAAAAAATTTTTGTGCCTCTTAGTAGTTTCTTAAGACAAAAAATTTTTTACCAATGTCAATGAAAATTAAAATTTTAGGCCTTTTTGTGTTTTGTAAAAATTTTTTTATTAAAATAATACAAGAATATTTTTTATTCAATTATTGTGGATGTACTTGTGAACGATTAAAAATAGTATTTCGATATGGAGTGTTTGTTAAAATACAAATAATTGGGTTAAATACAGGTGTTAAATGAAAAATAATTAAGATTAAGATTCTAATAATATTTGTTGTAGTGCTAGTTGTTTGTGAATAAAATATACAGAATAAAAGTCCAGTTTGATTAGCAAAAGGTACAATAGCCTAAAAAGTAAATTATAAAAACAGCTGAAAATGAAATTGAAAAATTCAAAAAATACTCGAGACTTTTCCCCATTTTTAAAGAGAGAAAATTAAAAAATAATTTTAAATTAAAATAGTAAGTGGGATCGGTGGATAACCTTTTCCCTACCTCGCCTATCTCTCTCTCGAAGGTGAGAACACATATTCTTAAACAAACTTTTAATCAAAATTCTTCTTACCAAAATAATCAAAACTTTTGTTAAAAGTTTATTTAATCTCTTCAAATTTTCATCAAAATTCGTGTTTAAATTGACATATCTAACCATTTTAAACCCACAAACAAATATTATTGAATAAGCAGATAATTCAGCCATAGTTGCAGGTAAAAGTTTCAAAATAGTCAACTATTTTTGGAATTTATTTTAATTTAATTTTAAAAATTACCTTTTCCATTTTATATTGAACAAATGGCAATGTTTTGTTTAAATTATCAAAATATTTAATAACTCCAAAAGAATATGTTATAGCAATGAAAAGTGTATCAACAATAAAAAATGCTGATACAAATAAAGCAATAAACACCATTAACAAATAACGACGAAAATTAATTTTCATATTTCTAAAATAATAAATATTGGGGTTAAACAAAAGATGCAAATGCAGTTTTGTAGTATGCTTATATGTCTGGTCCGTCTGTAAGTCTGGTCCGCTATATGTCTGTAAGCCGAGAGTCTCGACCAACACTAATGTTCTGGTACATAATTGAAGTATACAAAACTGGTGGTTGCCCCCACCCTCTTTTTGTTAAAATTTCTATTTTTTGTTTTGTCAAAACACATTTAAAAAATATGCAAAATTCAATGCTTATTATAATATCTACGCATATTTTGGGATTTTGCAAGTATTCATGCCCAACCCCGCTTTAATAATTTCTATAAACAAATTTTATGAAAAATCTGTTCCATCTAGTACATATAAGTGTGACCATTTCACAAAATACAAGATGCATTAAGCCAAAATTTATAACAACATTTTTGTTTTCTTAAATATTTTTATTTAGGTATTTACCTGTTTAGAATTAAATATCTAAAAATAAATTGAACACACAATCCATTTTTATTTAAAATAAAAATATAAACCCAGAATGTATCAACAAAACGACATATAAGCGGATTAAAATTTTCTTTTGTAAAGCTTAGCAAAATTCCATTAGGGAATATTGTAACTGTATTCCCTTCTGTATCGAGGACATAAAACTATAAATATATAATTATAAAATTGGATTGAAATTAATTTTCATTTTTAAATCAAATAAAAATTATATTTTTAAAAATTATTAATTTTAATTAAAAATATTTTGAATTCTGATATTTTTTTAAATAATTTTGATCAAATTACTCCTTGAAGAAACATTTGAACAATCAACATTAAAATATCCAAAACACAATTTTGTATCAGAATTCGACTGTGTGTTTTCATTTCTTCTGGTGTTTTAAAAATAATTAAAATAATTAGAATAATATTTAAAGGGAATCCAATTAATAAAGGAACAAAATAATCTAATTTAAATAAAATATCAAGTAAATCTGAGGGCATTTTTTAATTTAATAAATAAATAAAATTTAATTAAAGCGTAATTTCTTTAATTTTATGTAATTTTTTTAAAAGTTAAAAGAAATTAAAATTAATTTTCATTAAAAAAAGCTAATAATTTCTAAATACAAAAAATATTTGTAAGAAAATTTTGTTTATTTTTTAAAAAACTATTTGACAAACAAACCGTGAGATTTTGGACATTTCTTGGTAAAAGTTTGGAGAGATTGAGTAGATTATTGAGTACTTTAGTAAATTAGGTAACTGAACTCCCCATCAGAGCTGTGCGCTGCAGCGTTGAATAATTCCAATAATTTGCACATGGCTTCAGCCTAGGTATTTAGAGCAGATTGTGCTTTAGGATATGCCAAATCATTCAAAAATTTTTCTGAAAATTTCAATCATTAGATTAATGAGGGCATTTCATTTTTACTTTTCTCTGCCGGACCTTCTCTGTCGACGTGATAAGAAAGTAAGATAACGTATTTGCTGAAATAATGTCCCTCTCTCAAATAATTACCCCCGTCCTATTAATTACCCCCTCCAGCGAGAGATCGAAAAAATAATTACCCTGGGTAATTATTTTAGCAAATACGGTAAGTTACAAAGGAGTAGATATTCCCGTTAAATAATCTTAATAGTAACCAAATAAATGGATTTTTATAAACGTAGGAAAATATAATTAGGCATAGAAATTCATAATTACATCATGATTTGAAATATTTACAGACATTTATTCTTATATGTATGTAAAAGTACTTTTATTATTTTTAATTTCATAATATTATTTTATTTTGAAAAATATAAATTGCCCTTTTTATTTCGGACAGTATTTCATAATTTAATTTTTATTTAAATTTACAAAATTTTGACAAGAAAAATTATTATTAAAAAATTGTTTAATAAAATATTTAATTAAAAAATTATTTAATTTAAATAAAAAATAAATAAAATGTTTAAAATATTTTTATTTTATTTTAAATTTATTCTTCTAATTTATGGTAGTTTAGGTGTGGAAATATATTTTAGCGGTAAATTATTTTTTAGAATTAATTAGAAATAATATTTTAATTTTTTGATTATTATCAAAGTTGTAACTTAAAGCGATAGGGGCGTCGGGTTATGAGTTTTCATTATGTTTCTAGGTTGGGGATATCCTGAAAAATCCTTGGGAAATATTCTTGACCTAAAATGGTTTAATCTGAAGAATAATCTAAAAAATTCTATTTTCTTCTAAAAATGAGAATAATTGTTAACTTATGCCTAAAAATGTTTTGGTTGCTCGAGAGACTCAGAACTAATAGAGAAAATTAGCTGACAATAAGCATCATCTAATTCATTAATAAATTTAAAAATAACGATTAATTTTTAGATTTAAAAGAAGATGCTGTTAATCAGCAAATAATTCAAGATTACAATTTTTATTTTAAAAATGACCAAATTTCTGAAAACGAAAATAATAAGTTAAAATTTCATATTTATTCTTGGTATACCATTAAAATAATGAAAGAAGCTTATAATTTGGGAAATAATTTAAAATTGCAAAAACAAAATAAAAATAAAAGAAAAAATAAAATTAATGAAAAAGAAAATAATAATTTTTATTTAAAATTAAATGTATATAATGAAGAATTGAATAAATTAATTGAAAATGGAATTAATGAAATATGGGAAAATCCTTTATTTATTTGTAAAATATATTATTTAAAAGAAAGATTTTTTAATGATAAAGAATTGTTAGAAAATAATGATTGGGCTAAAATTGTGGAGAAGATAAATATACCTAAATTTGTAAAAGCTTAAATTGTTTTAAAATAAAAATTCTATAATTGACATTCTCAATAACGTTACTCCGAGCTGAACGAAATTATTGCCAAACATTAACCAATTCTATAAAAATTAAAAAACTGAACACGAAAATTTTTGTAAAGGAGTAATTAATAATTTAATGAGTGATTTAAAAAAATTCCCCTACAATAAAACCGGTAATTAACTAAAACTTTTAAAATCGTCTGGGATAACAAAGAAAAAACGGGGATACGTAGTGAACATCGCTAGCTTTATCTTAATTAAATCTTTAATTGACTATATTTTAAAGAAAGCAATAAATAAAAAATTTTAGGAAGATAAGTTTTTCAAAAATAAAGAAAAAGAATGTTCAACAGAAAAAAAGGTCCAAAAAACTATAAATAAATTATTTAATGACCCGCTTAGAAAAGTAGCTTTAAGAAGAATGCATAGAACAACGTTAATTAATTTACAAAAAATATCAAAAAATTTAACACAAATTTTGAAAGAAACTCCGAAAATTAAATTAATTAAATTATTAGACATTGCAATGTTTGTAAAGTTAGAATTACAATTGCCAGAAATTTTTCAAATTCGTTTGTTTTAATTATAATTGCTGAAAAATGCTTAAAATTTAAATTATTAATTACAAAATCCCTCACAATAATGTAAAGCATACAGCTATTTAATGGTTTGTAATGGTGTAATGGCTAACACATCAGTCCGGACTACTGAAGATGCTGGTTCGCTCCCAGCCGCCGAATAACCTTTTGCACTAGCTAAAAGAGAAAAATAGCTATAGCCCAGCTGCTTTACTATAATATCTTTAATATAATTTTGGTCTTTATACATAAATATACCGTATTTACTCTGGTAATTCCCCAGGGGGATTATTGTTTCAACCCATCTCTAGGGTGGGGAATTAATAAAGACTGGGGGAATACTAGAGTAAATACGGTATTTATTTTGATGTTTCTTTTAATCTACATAGATATAAGAATTCTTTAATCTCAGATAAAATATTAATTAAAAAATATATTCAGATATAATGGATGAAGAATATCTTTGGCTATTATATAAACAAGTACTTTATTTCAACATTAAGGATACTGATGCTGAGATAAGTCCAGAGGAGGCAATAATAAATAGAGTATATGCAGAAATACGAATTTCTCTGTCATTTTTGATAGCGGAATTTTACAAATTAGAAGATGAATTTTTGGAATATTCTATTAAAACAGATATACAAAAAGGAAAATTAATTGAAAATGCTAAAGAATTTGTAGAAATAATAAATGAAAATATTTATAAAAATTTAATTGAATTGTGGATAACTTGTTTTGTTATTAAAATTAATGAAGATTTAAGAAAAATAAGAATAGAACCTGCTAACAAAGCTGAAATTAATTTAACTTTATTTAATAAAAAATTAAATACATATATTAATCAATGTAAAACAAAGGATGTAACTATTATTTTAAGGTAAATAATCTACTATGGTGTGTCTAGGATTTAAAATGTTTATGGTAAGACCTGTATCGGAAGATAAATAAATATGATGGCGTTTGATATAGAGTAGGTCGAGGTCGAGGTTTTTTGAAAAAACCGAGACCGAGGATCACCGAGGCTGGAAAAGCCGAGATCGAGGTCGAGGGGCAAATTTTGACCGAGGTACATATTTCAATGTTTTTCTTGAAAAATTCTAGTCAATATACTTGGATAAATGGATAAGTCAAATATAGTACAACCCGAAAGAATCCATTTTTCGAGAGAATCCATTCCTTACTTATGTTAATAATATTAGATTTGTATCTTGAATGTCGACATTTTTGCATATTATTCTTAAATTTGAAACAAAAATTGCTTTATTGTCCAAAAGATTTTTTCTAAAATTTTTGATTTAAATTAGGATTCAATTTTACTGAGTACGGTACAGAGGGTCTCGGAATAACAGTACATGGTATTTAACGTCTTGTGGCTTTGGCTCGCTCTATTTAAATTTGGGCTCCAAAATTTTTAGGGGCCGCTTGATACTTCTCTACGTTTCCTGGATAATTCCCTTCCCCGGGGAACGGGGGTTTAACCCTAATATAAATTAATTAAAAAATAAATAAATAATAAATTATTTTAAGAGAACATAGAAATTATTTAAAAGAACAACATCTAAATTATTTAAAAGAAAAACTTTCAAATAATATGGATATTATAGAAAAATTCAAATTTAAATTAGGAATTAAAACTAAACTTCTTCAATTAATTAATGAAGACATGGAAAGTTTAAATAATTTTTGTGATGAATTTAAATTAAGGGAATTAGGTTGTTACTTTTAACTTTAATACACTCTGTCAGAAAATTATAAGCACCCCCTAGTTTTTGAATAAAAACATAGTTGAAGTTAAAATATCATAGTTTCAAATATTTTTAGGATTTTCTGATGCATATTGAACAGAAAAAAAACAATCAATGATAAATTAAATATGGATAGTAGAGAAAATAAATGAAATTTAGTTAAAACGACTGTCAGATAATTATAAGCACCCCTAAGGTTTCGACATTAGGGGTCGTCCGAAAAATCTACAAAAATTTAGGTAAGCATATCTAGTTATGTCAATTGAAAATATAAAAGAAACTAAGTTCTAACATAACCCCTACATCGAGATCCACAAACTCGAAAATCAACGGAAAACAGGGGGTAGATGTCTTTAAAAAATATTTTCAACCCCTTACAGTTGAAATAAATGTTTCATTTTGGGCTTATTTGAAAGCCCTTGAAATTTGCTACAAGATGGCATTAATTTTATTCTTCGAAAAAAATTCACCTTTAAGAATAATATGATAAACTTTCAGGTCATAAAAATCACTCAAAAGCCCCCCAAAAAGTGATAAAAATGTAACTTAAAAACTAATCTCATTATTTCTCAAAGAAGAATTTTTTTTGGATTATGAGATGAAAACTATCTTGTAGCAAATTTCAAGAGCTTTCAAATAAGCCCAAAATGAAATTTTTATTTCACCTGTAAGGGGTCAAAAATATTTTTTAAAGACATCTACCCCCTGTTTTCCGTTGATTTTCGAGTTTGTGGATCTCGATGTAGGGGTTATGTTAGAACTTAGTTTCTTTTATATTTTCAATTGACATAACTAGATATGCTTACCTAAATTTTTGTAGATTTTTCGAACAACCCCTAATGCCGAAACTTAAGGGGTGCTTATAATTATCTGACAGTCGATTTTTTGGAAATACCAGTTATATCCCCTACTCTCCATGAATAATCTATATTTTATTGTTTTTTCTTTCGAATAATGAATTAAAAATTCATAAAAAATTTTAAAATTATTTTACTTTAAACTTAAATATGTTTTTACGTATAAACTAAGGGGTGCTTATCATTTTCTGACAGAGTGTACACTATGCTCCGAAATTATAGTGCCCGCCTATCTTTTGAGAAACGGTGACAATTTGACATGACATTCGACTCACGAAATATTTTTATATTTATTCCTAACCTATGTACAATTACCGTAAATCTTCCAATAGAACCACATGTGCTTGTATTTTTCAATCCTCTCGTCGGGTGTGGTTATATTGGAGAGTGTGCTTCTTTCAGAGAGCGTGGTTCTATTAGAAGATTTACGGTATATAAAAAATTAATTTGAAGGTAAAATTCCGCCATATCTCACGTTAACCGATTTGGACAAACAATATGTTAATCGAAAGAGCTCGTTGAGCTGAGTCGAACGACACCAAAATTAGCTTCGGGACCCACCTATGGGCTTTGATGTAGCTCTGCGAAAATCGAATAACCATAGGTGGGCCAAGCTTATTTTTGTGTTAAAAATTCGAATATGCAAATAATAACTCTTTAGAAAGAGTGCCTCGAGCTGAGTCGAATGACATCAATTTTGCTTTAACCCCTCACATAGGTTTTCGCGGAAAAACTCCTTGCAAAGTGATCTGGAAACACGAAAATAATCTCTTTAATAAAGCAGTTTTATGTCTTGATAAATTTACCGTAAATCTTATAATAAAACACACCTTCGAACAGAAACACTCCCTATTATAACAACACCCTACGAGAGGATCGAAAAATATAAGCATATGTGTTTCTATTAGAAGATTTACGGTATATATGAAAATTGATTAAATTAATTTAAATTTTCAGTTTATTATTTGAATAAAACATTTTTTGAAATGCATTGTAATAATACTTGTGAATCTGATGGACAAAATATAGATATTTTGAATCAACTAGCAATGGAAATATTTTGTTATTATCGTTATATGGATGAAATTATTAATGTAATTTTAAAAATAAAATAAAAATATTAATTTTTATAAGATTATTTTAAACAAATTTAAATACAGTCGGAATTCGAAATTAGATACCTCCGAAATAATGTACACATCAGTTTTTGATTGTTATTTCACAAAAGACAAGTTATTTGGTGTAGGGCAGTGCTGGTTTGTTGGCACAGCTCCGGACTTTTAAAATCTTGCCTCCAGCTCCGGAGCCGGCGATTTTCGGAGCCGCTCCATGTTGGCTTTGGGCTCCGGGTAGAAAATCAATAAATTATTTTACATTGGAGGATTTGGGTAGATAAAGAGGGGTGATATCAGAAGATTATGGGGAATATAAATGGATTAAACGGGATATTTTCAAATCAACATGAACCCAGTTAACCATACATTCAGTCAAGCAATACTCTCAATGCCTAAGCAATACCCTCAATTTACGATACCGATCATTTCCAAATAAATTTTTTCATCACTAATAGGATATTTAAAATCGAGTTCCGGCTGTATAATTTAAAGTTAAAGAATATTTGGCAAAACAATGAACTTCAATTAGAAATAATCAAAATTTGGGATGAAAGACGTTTATTTTGTGTAGATATTATATATGATTGGTTAGTTACAGCATCACAAAACCAAATTGCTAAATTCGAAGAATATTTTAATTATTGGCTTTTTAAAACAAAAAAATTAGCTGAAAAACTAATAAAACTTGAAGGAGAAGAAGCAGAAAATCAATTAAAAAATTTGGAAAATTTAAAGAAAGAATGGCTGAGATTAGAACCTCCAATAATTGAAATAATGAGAGATTATTCAAAAATAAAAAATAATAAAAATAAATTAAGTGTGAATGAGACAGAAGAATATAAAGAATGGCAGAAAATGGAGAAAGAAAGAAATCTTAAAATAATAAATGAAGAAAAGTGTCTTAATGAAGGTAATACAAATTAGAGTTCGGCTCGATTCGGGTTTTTCGGTATTTGATGTTGATATGTAGACAAAAAATACCGATAGATGTTTCCAGCTTCAGAAAAGTTTTATTTTAATCGAATATTAAGATACTAGTAGTTATCAGATAATATTCTTTAATAGTATTTTATTTGCTTAATTTTGTGATGTACGATGTGAAACGCCCAAACTTTAAACTGTATAAGGCTATGATTTCCCTATTAATGTAAGCAAAGATATGAGAAGATTAAGTATATACATATTATGCTTTATGATATTAATGTCTAATTTATCCTTAATTTTGAGGTTTGGAATGAAAGGAAAAAAGTTTTGTTTAATATTTTTAGTTAATAAAATCGTTATAAAATAATTATTATAAAAATTAAAATATTTTAAAATTTAGATTACTTTTTAAATACTATAACAGAAAAAACTAAAAAATTTTGTGATCACCATGGACTTTCTATAATTAAAGTTGACGAAGAAAATAACAATAATGATGAAGGGGATATAATTGGTGA